CATCCATCTGCACTGTCCCCTGGCTTCCTCCTTCCTGTTCGTTGGCTCATTGCTCAGGATTCATCTCTCTCCTCTCTTCACCCTGGTGACTCAGCAGGCCTTCTGCTGTCATGGTTTCCCAGGTCACTATCAGACAACCCAATTCTGTATTGTCTATTTGTTTACGGTCTGTCTGTCACCTACTAGATGGGAGCCTAGGTTTCACCAACACCCTAAGTAGGAGCTCAGCAAATATTTAACATATTTTCTTTAAGTGAGCATAGAAGAAAAAACACAAAAGCTTCTAGAATCATCTATAAGTCTCCAGACCAAGTTGGCTGGTGAGTGATGGCATTGTCGCTCTGGACTGGATAAATAGAGTTGTCTTCCACGCTGTTTGCCCTGTACTGTTATGTGACTGCCTTGCTCACTCAGTACTTGTTAAGGTTCTTTTTTTTTTCTTTTTTGTCCTGCGGCTTGAACTCTGGGCCTGGACGCTCTCCCTCAGCACATCAGCTCAAGGTGTGTGCTCTCCCACTTGAGCCACAGCGCACTTCCAGTTTTTTGGTGGTTTGTTGGAGATAAGAGTCTCATGGACTTTCCTGCCTAGGCTGGCTGTGGACCTCAATCCTCAGATCTCAGCCTCCTGAGTAGCTAGGATTACAGGTGAGGGCCACTCATCCACCAGTGCCTGGCTGTAAGGTTCTTTCTGAAAGAAGTTTTTGGTGAATTGAGATGCTTGGAACTAAGTATTATGGAGAACTTGTCCAAAACCATAGGGTTTCTCCAAGAGAAAGGGCTTCTGCTTCTCCTACTCTCAGAAGCGGTGTGTCCTACTTAGAAAGACACTAGGTTTCAAGACCAGAGACAAGTTATACTGACTTCCAAAGTATTGCATTGTGGCCCCTCACCCCCAATATATTTGAACTCCCAGAGAAAAATTGATTTAAAACATTTTTTTTGGTCTGGTCGTGGGGCCTGAACTCTGGGCTTGGGCGCTGTCCCTCAGCTCTTCAGCTCAAGGCTAGCACTCTACCACTTGAGCCACAGCACCACTTCTGGCTTTTTTCTTTTTGCTTATGTGGTGCTGAGGAATCGAACCCAGGGCCTCATGCATGCATGGCAAGCGCTCTACCACTGAGTCACCTTCCCAGCCCCAGAAAAATGGATTGTTAAGGGAGCAAAACAAGGAACAAACATTCCTTGAGGTTTGGTACATTCCAGGATTATTTTCTTTGTGGTTTGAATTGAAAGGCAGATTGTATCATTGTGTAGTGATAAAGCCTGTGATTCCAGCCTCTCTGCAGGGAGGCTAAGGTGGGAGGGTCACGCGTGCCATGCCAGTCTGGACAAAATAGCAAGACCCTGTGTCAAAAAAAGAAAAGGGAAGCCGGGCACCAGTGGCTCATGCCTGTAATTCTAGCTACTCAGGAGGCTGAGATCTGAGGATCACGGTTCAAAGCCACCCCAAGCAGGAAAGTCCCTGAGACTCTTTCCTCCAATAAATCACCAGAAAAATGGAAGTGGTACTGTGGCTCAAGTGGTAGAGCGCTAGCCTTGAGCTGATGAGCTGAGGGACAGCACCCAGGCCCAGAGTTCAAGCCTCACAACCAACAAAAAAAAAGGAGAAATATGAAGTGATTTCTATCAGTCCCACCATGCCCCTTAACCACCTACCCTAGAGCAAATCAGGTCCTCAGATTTCAACTGTGAAAAAAGAATACATAGTTTTTGTTAAGTATATAGGCTTTGACTGCCTCTTCAAGTAATCCAAACCCCATTTTCTTTCTAAAGAGCTGCTTGATCTTCCATCCTCAGTAATGAAGAAGAAGGTTCATTTCGGTGGGGAAAGTAAGGAGAACATGAGGAGTGAGGCGTCGGAGAGTCAGCTCACCTCCAAGTCCAAGTGCAGGGACCTGAAGAAGCGGCTCCATGCTGCTCAGCTGCGGGCCCAAGCCCTGTCAGATATTGAGAAAACCTACCAGCTGAAAAGCAGACAGATCCTGGGCATGCGCTAGCCCAGCACCAAGCCCGGAGCCCGGTATGGGCTTACTATCGCCAACCCTTTATAAAGATTCATATTTAACTGCTCTAGCTTTATATTCTGTGAGCCACGCCCCTTTTACCTAGCCAGTGACATTTTGGAATGGCTTTTACTCTTTTCAGTGACAGCTGTACAAGATGTTCACATCATTAATTTCTCTCTCTTTCTCTCTCTCTCTCTCTCAGAGTGATATTGTCTTGGGTGGTTGGGCTTTTAATCCTGTGATTACTAATAGGAATGACATACATTCTAGATCTAAGAGGTAAATAATGTTTGAAGAAGAAAACACCCATGCACAGCACTTGCTTAGATGTTTGAAATGACTGAGTGGGATGCTGTCAGCTGTTGTGTCCAGTTGTCAATTGCATGTCTGATTTCAAATGTGCTTGAACATAGAAAACCTTCACTGGATATAAAATGGTCACAAGTACCAAGACATCTTGTGTATACATATTCCATTGTAGGACATATCTGTTGCCTTTCTGGAATTTTATTACTGTGATGTCCATATTCTTCCTTTTTAATTCTATTTAATAGTATATGAACTTGCTGTCATTAACCTCTTTCCCAACAAATAAAAAAATCCTTTAGTTTTCCTACATCTCTTGTCTCTCATATTTGTTGATCTCTTCATCAGAAGGACGTGGATTTGAGGTGAAAGGTGTTTAACCAGGAAAAGAATGTGAATAGATACTGTTTGGCTATGATGGCATCTTCCCATTCATCTCTTTAATCTGTGAACCCCTGCAGGCTCATGGTCCTAAGCTGTCCTGGCTCCCCAGGAGACACTGGGGCTTTTGAAAGTCATAACTGTGGAGGGTGCTATTGGTACCCAGTGGGTAGAGGGCACTGACGCTGCCTGTATTCTGTGATGCCCATGACAATCCTAACAACATACTATTGACAATGCACCGGGGAAGAACTTGGCTTGTGCTGAAACTTGCTAGACTACACTTCCTACCCCTAAAGGAAAGTTGATTTTTTTTTTAAATGTTTATGTACCAGTCCTGGGGCTTCAACTTAGGGTCTGGGTGCTATCTCTCAGCTTTTTTGCTCGGCTTGCACTCATCACTTGAACCACAGCTTCGCTTCTAGTTTTTTTTAGTGCTTGCTTTTAGAGATAAGAGTCTAACATATTTTCCTGCCTGGGCTGGCTTCAAACCATAATCCTCAGATCTCAGCCTCTTGAGTGGCTAGGTTTATAGACATGGGCCACCATTGCCTGGCAGAACTTTGAATTTTGATGGATCTATTTTAGTATGTCTGACCTTTGATAGGAGTTAACAGTCTTTGCTATACCATCATATCTTGTGAATGACATTTTCCTGGTGGTGCTAATCCTTTTAGCATAATAATAAAAAAGAGCAGGTTATCAATGCTTAGTAATAAATGAGGGGAAAAAAGGCCTGCTTCAAATACGCAGATTTATTACACAGTGGGCAATGTAGTCCCAGCACTGAAAAATGACAGTATTTAGCCAGACACCATCCCAAACTGCTCATTGTGACTACTACATCCAGGGATTAATCTAAAAGAAACATTTTTGATGTAAATATTGAGTGTAACTCCTGACCAGCTATGTCATTTGCAGGGCCTGATCTGAAACAAACGTGCAGCTCCACACAAAGTGGGAAACAAACCCTATCAATGGGACACACGGGACATACAAGATTTTTTTTTCTCCTTAGCCACCCCGCCGCTGCTTCATGTGTTACTTGCTCAGTTCTCTCTCTCTCTCTCTTTGTCGGTCATGGGGCTTGGTCACTGTCCCTGAGCTCTTCAGCTCAAGGAGACTCTCCCACTTGAGCCACAGTGCCACTTCTGGTTTTCTAGTGGTTAATTGAGTCTCATGGAATCTTGATCCTCAGGTGCCACCGGCACCTGGCATTGCTCAGTACGCTTAAAGAAGAAAAAATGAGCCCAAAGGATACTATCTACCTCCCATCTGTACAATGCCCATTTTCAAAGTGCATTTGGCTTCTGTATCACTAGGTTTACATGCTGGCATGGATTCCCAAGCCTGGAAGTTGTCTTAAGCCAGCCAGGAAAGATAAAGATGTGCCCCCCTCACATGCCTCGTTGGGTGCCTTGCCCAATTCCCTCTCATTCCTTCTCCAGCTCCACTGGATGTTCTGGAGAAGTCTAGACACCATTTTCCTTTCCCACAGCCTTCCCCTGCCTCAACCCTTGGCAGATAGACCGCCCAAGGACCTTTAACCTCCCAGCAGTGGCTTTCTTTGTATCCAACAGGGTGCCTGGATGAGCCACTAAGAATGCCACGCTGGTTGAGGGGGAGAGGATGTGGCTTCCCTGCCCTGCCCTGAGATGCTCTGGGTCCCAGATCCCAGCCCCAGCCCTGCTTTGCTGTGCCTGGACCCCTGCTGAGAATCAAGGCCAGGGGATGAAAAGGGGGCATTGGATGGGGCACAGCGCTCCAGGAGGCAGAGGAGCTGTGTGTAGCATTCTGGGGTAGGGAGTGGGGCCCTGTGTTGAGGATCTGACGTACTCCCCTCCCCCCGCCCCCTACCCTACCCCTCTGCTCTATTGTCCATCGTATTTTCTTATAGAACTCAAACGGAAAGACATAATTCTCAAGAAATTCAAGACTGCAAAAATAGACATTAGACACAAGAAACAGGCCTCCTTCTCCTCCTCCTGCTCTTTCTTCTTCTTCCTTTTTGCCAGTCCTGGGACTTGAATTCAGGGTTTGGGCTAGCACTCTTTCACTTGAGCCACAGTGCCACTTCTGGCTTTTTCTGTGTATGTGGTACTGAGGAATCAAACCCTGGGCTTCATGCATGCTAGGCAAGCACTCTACCACTAAGCCACCCTCCCAGCCCGGAACAGGGCTTTTCTGAATGCCAGATCCTTGTACTGTGGGGCTGCCCAGGTCAATCATCCATGACACTAGGTCTTGCTTTAGGAAATGTTTTTCCTCCCTAAAAAGGTTACAAGCTCATGTTTCCTTTTGGAGTCTGGTATGCTGGTGGCCTAGCTTGTGTTCTGCAGCTCACATTCCTCCTTCCTTCCATTCACCCTTTCATTCAGTGAACCAACTAGGAGCACCTACGATGAGCTGTTCAGAGTGCTGACTATGTAACAGTGAAGAAAGACCGATATCCGGGTCCTAAGCATGCCATTCAAAGGGGACAGGACAATACTCAGCTAAGCAACAGATGGAGTGCATTAGTTAAGTGCTGTGGAGCAGAATGAAACAGCAACAGGCACTAGGTGACAGGATTTGCAGTGTTAGAAGCGGTGGTCATTAGGGAGCAGCAGGCAGAGGGGGAGGCTAGCATAGAGGGGAAGAGAAAAGGGGGTGTTGAGTGGGGTGAGCGCTGTGCGGAAGCCAGAAGGGGAAGTAAGAACAGCACAGTGGGGGGGAGAGGGGAGGGGGGATATACGGTACGAGTTGTAAGGGTTAACTGATTAAATATTTATGTCTTTTCCACCCTTAAATATCTTGTCTGCCAGG